AAAAAACTAATTTGATTCTTTCGCAACACGATATTATTTTAACTAAAGATGAAACGCTTCCAGTTAAAGAAAAAACATAATGTGCACCTCATCTACAAAATTGGTCAATAAAAATCGGCCTAATAGTTATTGAGTAATGATTTTTTAAAGTTAAAGTATTTTAAATTCATTTAAATTAGAAAAAAAATATTTAGTTCAAAGTGTGTGGACTTTTTTGTCGCCTTGTGTTATTACTTTTTGACGGGGAGAAGAAACCGCGAGAAAGTGGGCATTGTGACATAGACTTCCTCCCTCCTAATAGCCGTAATTATCCTTTTTGCAACATCCTTCGGTTCCAACATGCTCATGTTTCTGGGTTTGCAACCAGCAAACATCCCTGTGTTTATGAAATAGGGACAAACTAACGTCATTTTAATTTCATGATGACCGTGTGTCTGAAATAAATCGGTTGATTAATTGGAAATTTCATTAATCGACTCACTTTGAGCTCAATTAGGAGACTTTCGTGGAAACCGATCGTTGCATGTTTGGAGGCGCTGTAATCGGTGCATTTGTAAGTGCCCAAAAGTCCGGTGAGGCTTCCGATTGTGACAATGTGGCCTTTTCCGGTTTTGATCATGTCGGGGAGAAAGGCTTTGGTGGTCTGTAATTGGAATTATTTTAATTGGTTTATTAATTAATAATGGATTAAGTGACCCAATAGTGCGATAAAATGTTCACTTTGAATGTTTTTTCGATCATGTAATCGGGGATTTCGAGGAATGTTTGGCCACAAACAACTCCGGCGTTGTTTATGAGGATGTCGATGGGGCCTATGTCCGTTTTAACAATGGTGGCGTATTTGTAGACGTTTTCACGATCGGTGATGTCCACTGGATAAGTGTGAACTTTGTAACCTTCACATTCTATTTTTTCACGGACTTTTTCTAAAGCTGGAACAAAGTCGGAATTATTTTGCATAAATTTACGCAAAAATAAGTCTTTTCAAAGCAAATTTTAATAAAATAGTAAGAATGTTTCAATTTTTTTCAAGTTTACAAAAACTAAATGATAAACATGTACGTAATTTGGGTTTGCCTCATTTTATGATAAAAACAATGAGTTTGTAATACAACCAATAATTATTTATGTATCCAGAAAACAAACAACTTTTTTAATTAATGATAAATGTGTCAAAATATTCGGTACATTCAACTGCTATTTTAAAAGTAAAAATCGGTATAAAGGAGAAAATTTACGTCTAAAAACACTTAAAAGATTCGATTTATTCAATTCCAGTTTCGGTATTTCATTTATTTTATTCCCAAGGGAATAAAGCGTCACTTTATTCTCTGTTGGGAGGAAAATATGTTTCAAAATTTTAAAACTTTGGGTAAGTGCGGGAAAGATGGAGCTCTAGAAGAGTCCTAATAAGTTTCAAAGTCCATCATACGATTTTATTTACTCAAAAAAATTCAAGATTTCGTTTCTCAAATTTTTTACTTTTTTAATCTTGAATTTTTACGAAATCTCGTCTAAAATTTTCATATAAAAAAAGATGTAAAACTATTAAGTCATGAATTTAAGGTCGCTCAATTTTGATCTTGATTTTTTTCCTTTATACAGGGTGAATTTAAAAAAATGACAGGGATTGTAGAATTTTTATTTATGGCTCGATTTCAAAAATTAAAAAAATAAATTAAACAACTTTTATAACCTGACAAATTTAAAATTTTTCTAAATGCCATAGTATATTTTGGGCTATATTTAACTTTCTAATTTTAAATAGGGACCCACTTTTTTTCATAATTTGGAAGATATTAGTTTTCATAGTACTTTTACTAAAAATTATTGTTTTAAAAAATTATCAATTTTTTTTTTCAACTTTGATAATTTTTTTAGTAAAAATAGAACATATTACACAAAAAAACTGATATTTCCCAAATTATGAAAAAACAAAATGTGGGTCCCTACCTAAAATTGTAAAGTTGAAAATATATTATTTAGAAAAATTCAGTTTTTGAATTTTTGAAATTAGGCCATAAATAAAAATTCTGCAGCGCCTGCCGTTTTTTAAAATCCATCCTGTATTTAAAATACTGATAAATTTTATTTTAGGGTAAATCCGGAAGAGATGGACTTTTACATATCTGAATAACAGTGGATAAAGGTGTTAAAATATGTTTAAATAAATAAATAAATAATAATAAATAAATGTTTTAAAAAAAGCACAAATAACACTCTTTTTACCCAATTGAATTACTTTCCGACGTATTCTTGACAAAATTTTGCAAAATAATTGCGTTTTTTATTGAAAAATGTTTTAAAATGCTGGAAAAGAGCATAAATTATGTCGTTTTTTTTTAGTCTGGTATATGTATTAATTTTTTGGTATGTTTTTTAGCAAAAATTAAAGAAAAAGTTTTAGACTTAAAAACGCAACTAAATGTTAACATCATTTCCGAATTAATTATGTGATTTTTCGGCTTATTTTTGACGAAGTTTTGTGCTTTTGATTGAAAAATTCTGCTAAAACGTTTGGAAAAGCAACCAGATGATTTTTCGGCTCAAAAACATGCTTAAACTCTCCAAAAAAGCAAAAATAACTTTAGTTTTGTGATGGTTTATTCATTTTTTACCTCATTTTCGACGAAAATTTTCAAAACAATTGCGATTCTGAATAAAAAACGTCCTAAGACGGAAAAATGGTATCATTTTTGAACAAAATTTTTAGCACAATCTAAAAAAGTAAAAGTAACACCATTTTTGAGTAAATTTAGTGATTTGTGGCGAAACAATTTTGTAATTTTTTTTTTGTAAAAATCATAAGAAAGGTCATTTTCAACCCAATTTGGTAATTTTTCACTATTTTTTAACAGAATCTTACAAAAAAACGTGATGTAAACAAGCAAAATTTATTATTTTTCACTTAATTTGGTATATTTTTGTCAAAATATTTCGAGATAATTCCGTCTCTTATTGAAAAATATAGTGTTAATATCGAAAACCGTTTTCGAAAAGTCGATGAACTAGCTTCAAAATTACACCCAGTAAACAAGAAATTTTTTTTAAATAAGAATGTTAATTTTTGGGACAGCATAAAGTGGACTTTTTTTATATTGTGTCATTAGAATTTCATTTATAAATGTTTTGTTAAACTTGAAATATACACGGTGTTCAAAAAATGACGGATAAGCTCCTTGGTTTCTTATGATAAATTTTCTAAAAAATTACAAAAAAATATTTAAAAAATTCTGTAACCGAACTTTAGAATTTTACAATTCTGGACTCTGTTAATTTGTTACATTGTTTGAAACATTGTTAACAACAGTAAAAATTTATTTGTGTAAGACTTGGACAAACAATTTTTTATTTAAAAAAAGTTTGGTGTAATTTACCTAAAATTATTATATAAGACAGGAGATTTTTTTTTATTTTTTACGAACTCCCCAAAGCTTTTCCAAGAATACATCATCGAGATTATCCGTAATTTTTTGATCACCGTGTATAAATATTTAGTTTTAATAAATTAAACGTAGTGACCAAATAGGAATTTGGTGAGAATTACTAAAATGTTATAGATACTTTAAAAAATGTGTTTTTTATGAGAAAAAACTTTCGTGATTTTTATTGAAATAAAGATAACAATTTTACAGGTTTTTCAAAACGTGGTTTATCTTTCCCGGACTTACCCTATTGYGAAATTGCATGGTGTTAAAGCAGTATTTTTTTATTTTATTATCTACTTAAAAAATAACATTTGTCTTCAACGCCTGCCACTTTTTAGAAATCATC